ACATACACACACACGCACACACACACACTCACACACACACACACACGCTTGACGAATAGTGATAATCTAACCTAATAGGACTCTATGGAATATCAGCTGTTTTCGAATGACGAGAAGATTCTTTACTCAAAATGAGGCAATAGAACATGTTTGAAAATCTTGTCTGAACAAGTACTCATGAACGTTTAGTGCATTTTTCTTTTAAAATATGTCGGCTATGTAAACTATAGACTATAGGACGCGTGTGGCGCAGTGGTCGGAGGAGCTCTGTAACACACACATGGGGTCGGTCTCCGAGCCTATGGCTCACCAAGTCTTCCATCTCCCAGAGTCGGCAAACTGATACCAGACTTGTCTAGGAGGATTGCAGCACTGGCTCGATACATCGGTAGGCTACCGCGAATCATTGTAAAGGCCAGATATGCATTCAATCATCTCCAAACGATCTTAATGAAGTGGAATGCATGGCGCATCCCTCAGTGATTGATTAATGCCGAGCTTTTTTTTTTATTCAAACTATATGTACATAGACATGGTCGTTGTATTTTTGAACAAAAACATCTCAACTGTGAGCAATCTCATGAATTGAGATTGACGCCACTAGAATTTGCAGATATTTTCTAAGAAGATGCAAATTTGTCGTTTTCACCGATATTTAAAGAATGCTACGCTCCCGGAGCACGTGGTTATTCTTCTCGCTTTTTGTTGTCGAGGCTAGCATCTCTTAAGCACTACGCAATTTAACAAAAGGCATTTTGTCAAGAGCGTCACCGTGATGAACTGTAGGTGTTTGCTGATGCCAGACCTTGCGTCATTTTATTTTTTTTATTATTACACTACTCGATATCACATCATACTGTGTGGATTCTAGCAATTTCGCATTCGATTTTTTCTGGAATAACCACCCATAAAGGTTTTTGAGCTCTTTTTTCCTAATGGATACGATTAATGCTTGGGGTTTTTGTCTTCGTCACGAATGTTGTGTGCCGGTTGAGTCGCTTTGACATGGATTCCTGACCTAGAACGGCTAGAGCGTTTCCACGTGGACTAGAGAGAGTGAGCTTCTCACAAAGAAGTCTAGCACAAACCCCCTTACTCCGAATGGTTGAGAGGCTAGGTGAACCCAGTGTGGTGTAGAACCAGCGCCAGAGGCCTATAGCCATCAGCGTAATTAACGACATTACTGCTACTCTGTTGCCTGGTCCCTTGCACTGCAAAATTAGCAGGGTAAATTTTTGATCTTTTCGGGTATAAAATCGGAGTTAAAGGTAATACTTTGGATAAATTTTGTATAACACTAAAGCGGTAGCCCACAATCTCTTCTAAAAGGCTGCACCATAAGCTCGCAAGTATGCTATAATGGGGAAAAATTAATGGTATTTTCTAAAAGCCAAGGTCACCGCAAATGTGCTAAAAGACTCAACCATTTTCTTGCTTAATTTTCACGGCGATAATCATGAATGCTGCAGATTTTGCCAGTATTGCGCTAAAATACTGCGCAGATTTTTTTTATTTCTGCATGGTTTTTATTTTCAAAGACGTCATTGTTCAGTGGGTACTTCATTAGAGATGTGTACTTCCTTTGGGTTATTTATGGTCTCAGCAGCAAAAATTATTTTTGTGATATGCACATTTGTGCAATGAAGCGATACTGAATAGGCTACAACAGAGAAGGCCTGAGTTCAGAACTTGTTTATTGATTACCTAGTCAAGATCCCAGCAGTTCTGCCTCGTGATCGTCGTTCACGAAGGTGGTCAGGTTCGTACATGGCGTCGGCTGTAACTTGAGCCTCTATTATTTGTTTTCATCAACATATTGAATGACGGTCGAGTGTGGTTTTCTCTAGAAACCTGAGATAGCCGTGGTACGGCGTTCTCCAGTCGCCACGACAGAAAGTGAAGACATTTGTAGGTTGAAATTTGTTGTTTTTAGACTTGAATTCTTCCAAAATGACAGGCACTTCTTTGACGATTGCGGGTACTGCGATTAGTCGATTATAGGCCAGAAAGATATTTGTTACAAGGCGATTCCTACTCCCGCAACAATGGCTCATATCTGAAGATCGACCGCTGAGCTTGGAAAAGTGGATTATTTAGTAGCTTATATATCAGGCAGCTTCATTGTCATCACCTACCTCGCAGGTGTTCATGAAAACATTAAGCACGCAGGCTCGACTGGTAATCGCGATCCCATTGTGGGTTACTTACTTTCTTGATACTTGAGTGGCCCCTCCTCAATGGCTGTGCGGACCCAGCACAATCTCCATTTTTCGGAGATTTGCTGGCTTAGCCATTGTGCTTCCCTTCCCTTGGAATCCCAAGGTCAGCGTGGCCAAAGTCTCTCCTAGGTTTTCACCACCAGAGGCAGTCGCAACCCTTGTAGATTAAAGATTTGCCACCATGCGACTCTGATGGACGGTGGTGGATCCTGGTACTGGTTTACTCCTACCTAACCTGATGGAAACTGACTGCCCTCCTGATGGAAAGGCCGGACTCCTTCTCAGCTTGGGGACCCTGCCAGGAGATGAAACCCGCTGTATATCGCAGCCCGACACCCAGGAACACCCCGCAGCCACGATGAGGCGGTAAACCGTTGGGAGGCATTGTGGGTTAGTGTGCTAAAAAGCACTACTATATCTCATTCGGTGCTTATGAGATGTTTGGCGTTTATACAAACTTAGCGCTCTAATTGAAAACGTTGTTCATCATTGAAAGAAGAGAAAAATGTTTTAGTACACTACATACACATTTGTGGAACTTTATTGTAAAATGACACAACGAGATGTTGTCATTACTTAATAAATGAATCTGTTGTCGATCAGCTTCACTGACTCCTCTTCTTGTAGCGTGCTTAATGCCGAACGTACTCGAGAGATCTTCGCCTCGGGCATTTGCTAAACCATTCTGGTGAATTCTGGTCTACTTCTTTAAGAACAATGGCTTCTCAGAAAATCAATTAACGACCATTATTTCAATTTAACTTTCTCGTAAATATAAACAAACCATACATGGGAACATTCCCAAAATTGTAGCTAATTTGTGAAATGTTTTAAGAATATTGACGGGTGATTGCTGATGGCACTGCTCGATGGGACTAGCTGCGAGATAGGCTAAACGAAGCACCCGTATGGTGTGGTGGCGAACACGTTGGCCCCGGAAAAATATCTCACTATCATTGTGGTTGTATCACACATAACACCCCGTCGTTAAAAATTGTAATAGGCAGTAAAAAAGGATGTTGACATTGTTTTAAGAATATTTCATATTGTCAAACTACTTGTCATACCGGTAGTCCATCGCTAAATTGTAGTCATTTATCAGACTTCGACATTTCAGCCCATAACCTAGCCAATATTAAATATATGTCATAAAATTCCAGCACATTAATAGAATTATTCACCCAAAATTAGCAATGCTCCCATCCGTAAGGACCGACGATGGTCTGTGTAGGCTAACATTGGACAATTATCTTCGGATTAAAACGAACCACTTTACCAGCATAAACCTAATCTCAGTACGTTATCCAATAGCCTCTGTCTACGACGTCAGCCCGTAAGAGTCTGTCACACCTCGCGTTACGCCGGGTGTCAACAATTCGGAATCAAAAAAGCGTTAACAACACGGAGTGGAGACTGCTTTTTACTCACTGCTTAAAAGGTTGGGACATCAGGCACTGACTTTTGACCTGTCCATAAGATCGCAAATCCTATTAAAATTTATTTAGTTACCGTATCGAAGACTAGCGACAAGAAGAACGACATCTGCTGTCATACAAACGAAGCTATCACTAAAATCAGTGGAAAGAAAACTCTGTTGATGCCGCTATATCCTATGAATCAACGAGTGTAACTGATACGCCTGAATTGGAAATGTTCATAGGACTTCAGATACAGGAAGGAATTCGCAATAGCACGGAGAAAAATTCAACAAGACGCAGCGCTAGTTAAAGTCCCCGATTTTGAACACAGTATCAAGAAAATATTGGCACAAGAATGGAATCATTTCGCTACGCTTTTTTCACCGTATACCTCTCTCGCAGTCACTTTTTATGAAGCAAAGATATTTTCACTTAGCCGTCGGAATCCTACAATAGCAACTGCTAACTATTACTATTACCAAGTTTTTGATAACGTCAAAGCGACATTCCTCTTATTAGTGGTCGTTGAACAAGGAGAAACCCCTACGCAAAAATACCCTCTGTACCCGACTGCCACTGTAACTGCACAATGAGTCCGAACAAAAGGAACCCGTAAAGCAGTGTACAATTCGTGATGGTCGATTTTTCATTGATTGAGAGCATGTTTAATAGGTTCACTGAGCTTCGAATAAAACCATTAACGAAGCGACGAAGCTTTTCTGGGTCGACAATCATCCTTGCGCTCCATAACACAACCAAGACAAGGCTGAGGCCTCAGTTGCATCAAGAATTTTGCATAAATTTCCAGACAAATTCCCTAACGAGTAAAGCGGTTTCATAGATAAATCTACTAGGGAAATAGAATTCAATAAATCGCCTACCAAGCAAAGATTGATGGCTCTTCTTTCGGAAAATGGTGTGAAAGCATTCACAAAAAATTGGAATTACCAAGAATTGCAAAGAGACTGGGGCGTGTGTATGTGGGTAGGAGACGCCCTGCAGATTTGTTTGGGAGGATAGTAGCACCGGCTCGATACATCGGTAAGCCACCGCGAGTCATTGTAAAGGCCAGATATGGAGCATGGCGCATCCCTCAGGGACTGATCAACGCCGACAGCTTTATCATTTATCCTTTTATAAGCAGACCTGCTATGATACTCAGATTTTCTAAAAAATATTGTTCGACAGAGGTCGTTTAGCCGAAGAATGCATGAGAAAAAAACGAAACATGCCTCGAATTGATCCAGAAGGATCATCGTAGGACTGCTATCGGTTGAACAAATCGATATTAACTCAATCATGTGAGAGCAACCCAGTTCCTGAAAGCTTCTAGTAGGAAAATTTGATTTCATTAGAATATTTTTTACTCCCAAATGTTTGAAAAGTAAAAAAAACTGATGAGGAAAACGAGCGCAACTGTTGCCAATTGCTGCCACTTCGAATTCTCGTCCATTAACTTCGAAAGCCTCAGCCGCGTCAGGTAATCGAGACAAGAGATGTCATCTAAAGTGCCTTTGCTAATGAAATACAATGCAGGATAGAGACGGAGAGAGATTTAGGCGACCTTGACCAAATTTTGAAGTTTTAAAGCTCGTTCTGGATCCACTTCCACTACTCGTGGACGGCCGATCGTCTATGTAGTCACCATTGAATTCTACAGTGGTGTCGCTCGAGGTCTGGTTGTCATCTGTTCCTGGGAGCTCTGAAGAAATATTTCACCGCGATAGTTGGTCTACATGATTGCCTGGCTATCTAAAGTGACCAGATGGATTGGATTGTTTTTTATGTACAAGCTCAGACGTTACTACAGTAATTCTTCTTTTAATGTAGCGAAACATTCCGTTTGCGGCCCTGTAAGCGCTTTAGGTGGAAACGGCTAGAGCAAACTAAGGTAGGTATGATTGGAAAATTTACTCAGGATCATTTAAATAATTCTATAATTTTATTTAATTTTATTTCGTAGACACGACCCTACACCATATTTCTTGGGGACCCTAGCACTTCCATTCGGCACGTTGTCTTGCATCTGTTATCTACAAAAATCTTCGGATAGAGGCGAGGCACCACAGGTCACCATCTGAAAGAATGGACAAAATCTATAGATTGAAGGAAGTTTCTTTCCACAACAGTCTGCTACCAATTTACTAACTTTGGCGGAATGATAAGTTTGGTTGGTCTGGAGCAAGTTCCAATAAGCGACTTAACGGAGCTCACAAATACTGTTCTCTCTCCGAGCCCCTTTCCACTATCATCAGAGGCACAATTGATACAAATGAATTCCACTCAATTGCATTGTGATTTCGTAATGCTTAAATATGGTTTAGGCCTTGTTCATACTTTAATATGTCATTCATCTCGTGAGAAATCTTGAAGTGGCCCTACAGTAACAGTATTTTTTAGCAAAGAGAAGGGTCGTTTCTTACTTGATACTTGATACTTGGACGGCCTGTCCTCACCAGTGGTGCGGACTCCAGCATAATCACCATTTTTCGGAGACTTGCTGGTTAAGCCATTGTGGTTCCCTGGAATTCTGAGGTCAGCGTGGCCAAAGTCTGCCTAGGTCTTCAACTCCATAAGCAGTAGCAGTCCCTGTAGATCAGAGGGAGATTCGCCACCATGAGACTAGTTTGATACCAGGACGGTGGTCGATCCTGGTATTGGTTTACTCTTAGCAAGACTTCCTGATGGAAACGCCAAACTGATTTTCATCTTGAGAGACCCTGCTAGGGTGATGAATCCCCTGCTGTACATCGCAGTCCGACACCCAGGAACACCTCTAAGCCACGATGAGAAAGTAAACCGTTAGGAGGAGGTTCGTTTTTATGGTGCCGTAGTTCTCATTCTAAGTTTAATTTCACTCGATAGGTCTAATGTTTGCACACCAATTAACAATTGTTAAGTTAAAGCGCAAATAAAAGCTACCTTCTCTAAAATGAACTCATAGAACTGACCGTATTGTGACTGTGTCGTTGCAGATGATTGCTGTGGATGTTGAAGATCGGGCCTGAGCGAAGCAGATCCTTTATGTGTACAATGTATTCGTCCACTTGAACCCCGTCTGACTCCTTGCGCGTTCGACACCGATCTGCCGAAAAGAGCAGAACGGGTGGTGGTCAAGTCGTTAGGCACGGGTGGTGGTATCTCCTTTGCTGGGAGTTCAACCCTGCCAGAACTTATTCAAAAATATGCAAGTTACTGCTTGTGTAGAATATACTTTTAATAAATTTACCTTTCTCCTGAAATAATACGCTGTGCTGTCTCGTCTCCACTCATAATTAATGAATTCCCATCTTTGTTTTCTTTTTTCGGATCGGCTCCTGCATCGATGAGTAGACCCATGATTCCGTAATTCGCAGTTTTCATACACAAAAGAAGTGACGTTTCACCAAATTCGTCTTCTACATTTGGATCAGCTCCTTTCTTGAAAATATGGTTACATTCATCGACGAACAAAGAACTAAATTCATGAGCAGAGGAAAATTGGAAATGAATTATAGAGTGTAACAATATTTCAAAAACCGAGTTTCCTCTAGCCTCGGAATGACTAATCAATATGTATTATTTCACTGATAAGCTAGTGCACTATAAGAATGGATTGCCACAACAAGGAGGATGGATTGCTCAAAGAATAACAAACGATTATCAATAACAGTATACGACGACTATCCTGTTAGCAGGAGCAATGCTGAGTGAGGTTACTTCATTTGAGCAGTGTTCAACAAAATTTGACTCGATGAGATTACGAAAAACTAAATCGGAAGAAGGAACAACTGTAGGCAAACCGCTCGGACCATCGGGTCAGAGGCAGACAAAGGCATCGAGACGTTGTTCGAAAAAACTTTTTTTTATCAAGGTCGTGTTAGCTCGTCAATGGAAGAATACATGCAAACTTTAGAGCATTTGAGTGGGTTCACTCAGTAATGAAGTGGACACGGCAGAAGGTAATCGTATAGTACTCCTCGTATAGGAATAATAGCTCAAGTCCTGCAAAAGGTAAGAGGTGGCGAATATGAGAGAACATACATCGAGGAGCAGCTGTACAATCTCAAAGTCGTTCATGTTGACGGCATGAAGGAGAACAGAACGACCAGCTTGATCGAGCGAATTGATGGAAGCACCAGCGTCCAAAAGCATTTCGATCAGGCTCAGTTTTAGCCTGAAAATTTCCGTGTTGATGTGTTTTATTAATATTTCCTTATTCTTAAAAAATAATTCATTAATTCTTTAATTCAATAATACCAAAAAGAAAGAACATCAATTGAGTTGAGAAAAAACACAACTAATAACGAGGTTGTGATCTTTTTCTCCTGAACTCTTGCTCATTATTCAATGGTTTGAACGAGCTGTAAAGTGTGTGCCTTCTCAATGTTTGCCTTTTTTATTTTCTGCCTTCTATTATTTTTATGGCAGGGTATTGAGCGAAATACAAGCACAAGATTGCTGAGATATTTGCAAAATTCCAGACCGCAGGTGTCTGCGGTGGGGAACGAACGCGTTATTGTCCTTTACGGGAATTAACGCGTTTACCACCACACCATGCAGGTCCTTCGTTTCGCCTGTTTCCCAACCAGTTCTATCGATCTGTGCCGTCAGCAATCACCCGATAGAACTAGCTGAGAGAAAGGCGAAGCGAACCCCACAGCAGACACCTGCGGCCCGGAGTTTTGCAAAATCTCAGCAATCTTGTGTGCCTTCTGTCGCACTTCTGTCCACCTGCCTCAGCTCTCTCCAGAAACACAACCATCGCATTTTTCTGGTGAAATGCTTGGTGGTTTTGTTTCACCTACTGAGACGGAGTTAAAGGCATAATATACTTATAAATAGCTCGTGGACTTCGTGAAAGTGGACAAGCAACCTATTTGTTGGAGGCGACCTTAAAATGTTCATCTATTTTACATGACCTGTGTTTGTATCTACGGTGTGGATCACAGCACTTCTCGCATTCGTTTCGTTCTCTCTCATCCACCATACATGAAGGTGTTTGCGCTTTTCGCAAGTGGGTTGGGCTGCTGGTTGAGGATTGCCGTCTTCTGTATGAATGGCGGATGCTGGTCGAGTCCAGTCTCTCTGAAGTCCTGGGATAGCTGGGCTGGTGTGGACCTATCTGGGTTAAAGAGAGTGAATTATATCCCGACAACTGGGGTACCAGCTTCCCCATGGTGGAGATAGGTCCATGGGAAAGTTGGACCAGCACCCTGTGCCTGTGATGATCCACACAACTACCACTACGCGACCCGCCGTCCTTTCGACATTGAATTGCCTCTAGTATACTTCTTATTCAGTGGATATGCTTTTGTATACAATGAACACGACGCAACACATACTATATAAAAAACTCATGCAAGTGTGTATTGATGATTATGTGTATACGGAAGCAACTAATTAACCACTGAAAGCAAGTACATAACAACTTTAGTTCCCCTCGACAAAAATTTGGGAGAACTACCTGACGGCACGTTAGGTAGCAAGCATTACCACCAATTGGTTTGAAATACTCACATAGGACAGAAAGTTGGCTTTGATACGTAAAAAAGCTGTTTCTTTGCCTGTGAATCACAATCCCAAAAAACCATTGAAGGTTTTGCTGAGCCATAGGATTAACGGCTCATTTATTTTCAGGTAAACTGGAAGCCATATCGCATCGTTACCTTCTTACTGCTAAATGAAGTGGAGAAAATCCTTCTTCATTCAAGGCATCGAGATCATTTTCCTGTGATGACGGAGCCTCCAGAATTTCCTTGAATATCGCTTCGTTGTAGGCATCAGCAAGATAGTGGACCACCTTAAAAAATAGGGAAAGAGCAAATTCTGGTTAAACAGCTCCAATGAGGTTTACAATATGTCCACAGCGTTTGGTACGTGGCAAATAGTAAACAAATTTAGTATTAAAAGATAGCCTCCCAACGGTTTGTTTACCACCTCATCGTGGTTGGGGTGGGGGGTTCCTGGGCGTCGGACGGCGATATATAGCGTGTGGATTCATCCCACCATCCCACTGATAGAGTAACCCAAACAGAGAAGAAAGCCCAACTAAGAGCAAACCAATATCAGCATCCACCACCGTCCTGATATCAAACAAGTCGCATGGTGCCAAATCTCCCTCTCATCCATAAGGACAGCGATTGCATGTAGTAATGACGACCTGGGACACACTTTGGCCAGGCTGTCCTCGAGATTCCAGAGAACCACAATGGTTAAACCAGCAAAGGTCTGAGAATGGAGATTGTGCTGGAGCCTGCACAACCAGTGAGGACGGGCCGTCCAAGTATCCAACTAAGTTTCAATGATGCTGAGATATTTGCAAAACTCCGGACCGCAGGAGTCTGCGGTGGGGAACGAACGCGCTATTGCCCTTACCGGGGAGTAACGCGTTCACCACCACACCATGCGGCTCCTTCGTTTCGCCTATCTCTCAGCTAGTTCTATCGATCTCTGCCGTCAGCAATCACCCGTCAGCAGGATTGATCTGGGGGCCCAAATCGACAACTAACCCAGTTAAGCTGAGGCTGTAGTTATAAATCACAATTATCCAAGTAAGTATTAAGAAGATAAAGAAATAAATAATTACGACGGTAAATGCTGGGAAAGAGGCTTAGTGTAAAAAAAAAAGAAAAGAAAAAGAGAAAAAAGGTGTTGTGTAGAAAATAAACTGTGTTCTAGCAAATTACCGAATTTTTGTGATTGTCGAGAATTTTCGTCGAGGCTCCATGCCTGAGCAAGTAGTGCACACTGTCGGGATCGCCGGCTCGCACAGCGCAATGAAGTGGCGTCTGCCCACGAATGTTACGAATATTCACCACTTCTTCAAGAACAATGAATTACATTTGGATTTTGTTTTCTCTCTAACACACAATCTTATAATGCTTACCATCCTTTCGTTCCTCAGGAATAGCCGACAGTAGCAGTTTTAATGCAAAATTTTGTGAGTTCTTTGCCGATATGTGTAGCACGCTAAAAGCAAAATAGATCTAGAGAAGCCGCAAAAGTATATGAGTTCCGAAAGAAAGCTTAAGCTCGGCATGAGGACTCAGCAGTACCTTACGAAATGTTTTAGTTTAATCTAGCGCGAGTTTGGAAGAAATAAGTAAGCTAGCCTGAACAAGGGCAATTTGTTAGATATCGGAGTTCGGTGTCAATGAAAATGAGCCACTGCTCTCCGTTATATCAGAGGTAAATATCCAACTAGAGAGCCCCGAATCTGCACAGCATGTTTGAAGTGATTATAGAAGTCAAACATGAGCCAAAGCTGTCTAAGATGTATTGCCATGAGTGGAAATAGACAAATAGAATTCTTGCCTTTGATGAGCCGAGTTGACTTGTACCAACGCAGAGACGAAATTTTGTTCAAGCACATCGTAGGTATCGAAAGTTAGAAATTAATCAATGTTCAAAGAGGTATTCTACTTTCTCTCCAGGAGAGCTCGATATGAGGATATTACCGAGCCTATAAGCTAGGGCTTAAAGAGCGAGTTTTGGCTAATATCTTGCTAAAAACAGTGAAGGAGAAGAAGTTCATACGGCATATATAGTGCTTCTTATTCCTATCGAGAAGTTAAACATAGTGATTCACCTCTGACACGCGACCGTGAAACGGTTGGGGCGCACTCAAGCCATTCGGTGACTAATTGGAATCATTGATGATGAAAGTAGTAATAGAAATGGAAGAAGCATATGAGAGATAATTCTCTATCTGAGATTCTCTTGCCTATTGAAGTGCTAGAGAAAAGAAATCCGCAAAAATTACTATATTATTGTGAGCACAAATAACTTTATCCACATTACGTAGACGTTTATCTATGAAGAGAAAATGGGGATAAAATTTAACCATAATGGTGTTGAGATATTTGCAAAACGCCGGACCACAGGTGTCTGCGGTGAGGAATGAACGCGCTATTGTCCTTTCCGGGGAGTAACGTGTTCACCACCACACCATGCGGGTTCTCGGTTTCGCCTGTCTCTTAGGTCTCTCAGGTCTGTCCCTGTCTCAACTTTCTATCGATCAGTGTCATCAGCAATCACCCGTTAACGGGATTGAACGCGCGTTCGTCTTCACCGCAGACACCTGCGGTCCGGAGTTTTGCAAAGATCTCAGCACCATTGTGGTTGTATTTCACATAATACCTTATCGTGAAAAATTGCAGATGGTAGCAAATGAAAAGCTAACAGAGTAAAATTTATTTGTATAACTGACGTGTTTCCCTCGCTATCCTTGTCTTCAATATGCTTCGAGAAGGGCGTAATCAAAGAAGTGATCTCGCCGTTAACAGCAAAGTCTGCAAGGCTATCCAAAAGAACTGCTGGTGGGATTTCCACTCTAAAAAGCTCCCAAAAGGCTTAGAAATTTCATCAGATGTAAACAGTTTTCTACTAAATGAAGATTACTCACTTAGCTTTGTAGGTGAACGGTATACTTAGATGTAAGTTTTGGCTTTCAAGTCTCAGCTGCACACATCGATCTTGAGTGAATGGGAAGCTGGGCACGGTGAACGTGACAAGCTGGAATCTCCCCTATCAACTACTATTGTTGTTGTTATTGTTAGTATTTCCATCATTATCGTAATTAATCTTTACTGTCATTGTACTCTTGGAACCGTTGTCACTAAATCTGCCCTTCTCGTCTCACCGTTTCTCTTTGCACAACTTCCTCCGCCGGTACACCCTGTTCTCCAATTGTAAAGGACAAGGAAACCGCATGATCCACTGGATTCGCTAATAATAGCCAAAGCCTAAATTTTTTCCTTCGATGCACAGAGTCCTTTTGTAATTTTTTAGTTGACTTCATTACCTGTCACCTTCGCCTCCTTCTGTAGCGCATATGTCCTCGATGAAGAGGCCACGAGCCGATTGTGATCTTTGCAGTTGAGGAGCCACCACCTGAAAAATGACAACTTCATCAATTAAATAAGCTTAAAAGAAAGCATTGACTTTATTAATCTTGGCAAAATATTGAGTTCCAGGGTAAATTTAAAGAATAAACAACTGGAAAATTCGACAAAAAGTTTGGAGACACACTGAAAAAACTTGCAAAGCGTTAATATAATGAGGACATAATTCTATGTAGAGTAAACCAGAACAAGAGAACATCTGAAATTTTTCGCATACTGATTAACTGGAAACAGCTAATAACTTTTCAATCCGCAACATTTTAGTGTACGCCGTCACGGTATTGCCGAGACACAGGTAGCGCAGTGTGTAGAACTGTCAAACCCGGTCGTCGGTTCGACTCAGTGTTGGGCTCTCATGAAGCCCTCCATCCCTACAAGGTTGGAAAATCGTTAAAAAACCTGTTTGAAAGGATAGCAGCACGGACTTGGTACATTTGTGGCCTACGGCAAATCATCGTATGGGACAGATATGCGTCCATTCACCTCAAACGATACTAGATGAAATGCATGCCGCATCCCTTAGGAACTGATCATCGCCTAGTGCTCCGCACTTTAAGCTTTTCTTACTCTCACTCTGTGTCATGCGCTCCTGAGCGATGCTTGATGTTAAGAATTTACCGGAAGTGACCGATGTATGCACTTCTTAACTGCGCTGTTACTCGCGTCATTTGTTATCCACTAAGACGAACAGCCTCGATAGAATTATTTCTCATTCAAAAAGTGACTCTGACGGTTAACATGCAAAGAGTAGTTGAGACAAGATCCCCTGAGTAGGTGGTGACCACAGTGGCTTCAACTGTGTTAATACCTTCGCACACACTTCTTTCAGCGCGTCATAGGGGGAATGTTCCATAACGATTTCACCAGATCAGAAAAGAATCGTTAATTTTATGGGGTATCAAACAGTAGCGATTGTGAGGAGCACCTTCGATTCTAGAAAGGTTAAAAATCTTATCAGGTGACGTCAGACACTTTGTGGAATTTCTTGCAAAGATTCCACTTCTCACCTCATACCGAAATTTCATAAAAGAGCACGTCAATAAGTTTGCTCATAAGTATTGGAATAGTAAAATGAAAAGAATAGTACTATATACATCTATTTCATTCAAGAGCTTCAGATTCTCCCAGAGAATGTCGAATTCGAGATACTAACTTTTAAAAATACTATTTGTATTAAAAGCATTGAGGACGACCATCTTTGACGATTTTAAAAAAAACGTGCGAATCAAGATCGTTCAGACCGGCACTTTTTCCTTTAACGCTTGACCGATATTTTCCTGGCAGAATGATTTTTCCACGGAAACGCTATAAAACCGCACCGAGATGTTACCAGGTCATCAGCAAAAGTAGGTGCCCGTTCTTGTGGTTCGAGGATCGAAGGGAGGTTGGCAACAATGCGACAAGGACAACTTGCTTGTTTAGGACGTTTCATGGCGTTCAAACTGGCTCATTGCCGGGCTTCCGGTGGAAGATTTGGAACATTTCCTTAAGGTGGACTAAGTTGTAAAACTGGATGAGAGGAAGGGAAAACCAAGGCTTCAGTTGCCTGAGGTCTAAGTTTTGCAAACAACTTAATATCATTGTTGTAGTTCACATAATACCCCGTCATGGGGAAATAATAGGCAGTGAGTAAAAAGGTATGCAATATGGAGTTGATTGAAAAATTTCAACAGTGTAAGAAGCAGTACATGAAAAAAACGCTTTTAATCAACCATGAGAAAAAATTGACTAGGAATTCATATTGAACGAACTGCAGAATGATAAACCGATAAGATAAAGAGCTTTGGAAGTCACCGTCAAAAACATTTGTGAAAAAAGTCGAAGTTTCCATTGAATAATTATGTGTCCTGCAATATGCACGGGCTCATTGCTTTGATCACAGCCTCAGGATAACCACCTCACCACCACTGTGGTGTCGGAAAATTGGTGTCAGACTTTTCTGGAAAAACCTCCTCATCCTGTTTGAAGAAATTAGAAGATTACTATTAACAGTTTTGTTGTTACCACGTAACACAACGCAATATTGTGCTGCTATTAGCACTGGTTCGACATTTACTACTCGAAAAGTAGAATAATTTGCTATTACTCAAGATGTTCGCAACCCCATAAAATTTTTGCAAGTTCATAAAAACTATTTTGTCACTGTCATCCTTATATAGAATTAAAAACGCTAGTTGTGTTCTGATAAGAAAAGTTAGAAAGTGGATAAAGCTCATGGCGTTGATCAATTTTTAAGGGATGCGCCATGCATTCGACTTCATTAAGTATCGTTGGAGGTGATTGAATGTATGTCTGGCCTTTACAATGACTCACGGTGGCCTACCGATGTATCAAACCAGTGCTGTTATCCTCAAGGACAAATCCGGTACCAATTTGCCGACCACGGAAGGATGGAAGGCTTGGTGAGCCACGGGCGCGGGGATCAGTCCCATGTGTATGTCGCAGGGCGCATCTGACTACTGCGCCACGCGCGACATTTTTAAAGGTTGATATCACCAGAAAAATAGGAACGTAAAGCGGAGAAGGAAAAATAGCGTGACAAAAAGAGGAAGGTAGAGGCAAAGAGACGGGACATAGAGATAGGAAGGAAAGGAAGGTAAAAGGTGGACAAAAAGAAAGAGAAGGATATTGGTTAGGGGTTCCATATAACCTGAACCGCTTGCCAATGCTTCGTTTCTGTTTTATAAAACTACCTTCTGCGAACATTGGCTATTTAAGAATTAAAATGTTATGACTACGTGACGTTTACATCCTCATCTCCATTTCCTTTTCCTTGAATATAATATTTCAGTTAAGGTGTAAATGCGAAAAGAAATGAAACCATTTTACAAAAACGAGACAAATCCATTGTTTTATCAACCCATTACACTTAACGATTATCAGACATGTTTTCACAGGGGTTCGGTTGGAAACCATGAAGCAACAAAACATCACTGAAGACTGGAATAGGCAACTGTGCTCGAAATTGAATGCCATTTAGTCTACGAATCACTGTGGAGCCACTGCAATCTAACAACTGGAAAACCCGAGGCTTTCCGGAAAATACGGCAAGTCATCATGGGGCACATGGAAACAAGAAAAATAAAATTACGACGTGATCCAGACTATAATAGTCAAAATAGTAATGGTAAATGACGGGTAGCAAAGTGTAAGTAATGCTGATCATCACGAGCACTGTGTTGGTTCGACCCCTCCCTAGGCTCAGCAATCCTCCCATTCCTCTGGAGTGGGGAAACTAGTGCCGGAATTATCTAGGAAAAGTCTCCTCTTTGTAATCGAAGTGGGGAAACTGCAACCTGGCTGCCTCAGACCAGCATTTAACGACATTCATGACGAAAGGAATATCCTCGAGCAGTAGCCGAAGTCACACGTGAAAGTTTGAAGACCGCCGTGGATGATGAATGCGAAGAAAGTCGAGTATGAGAAATGCTTGGATCCGTACGGTAGATATGAACGAGTCGTGTAAGAGAATCGTTATAACAATAATATTTATTAAAAATATACTACTCGTATGTAATGCTGAGATATTTGCAAAACTCCGAACCACAGGTGTATGGAGTGGGGAACGAACACGCGCTGTTGTCCTTACCGGGGAGCAGCGCACTTCACCACCACACCATCCGGGTCCCTCGTCTTGCCTGTCTCTCAGCTAGTTCTATCGATCTTTTTGCCATCAGCAATCACCCGTCAACGGGATTGATCTGGGAAGAACAACAATAATAATAACAATAGTAATTATACCAGTAGTGGTAGTCATACTTGATACTTGAACGGCCCGTCCTCACTAGTTGTGCAGGCCCCAGTATAATTTCCATTTTTCGGAGATTTGCTGGTTAAGCAATTGTGGTTCCCTGGAATCCCAAGGTAAGCCTGGCCAAAGTCTCCCCAGGCCTTCACCACCATAGGCAGTCGCAGCCTTTGTGGATCAGAGGGAGATTTTCCACATGCGATTTTGATACCAGAACGGTGGTGGAACCTGGTATTGGTTTACTCTCAGCTACGCTTCTTGATGGAAACGCCGGACTCGTTCTCAGCTTGGGAGACACTACCGGGGAGACGAACCCTTCGCTGTACATCGCAGTCCAACACCCAGGAACACGTCCCAGCCATGATGAGGCGGTACCCCGTTGTGAGGGTGGTAGTATTAATTAATTATAATCATGAAAATAATAATGACAAGAGTAAGTGCTGTTCAGAAGACATGTAGACATTGAAAAATACGCTTTGTCAGCTTATTTGATAATTTAAAACCTAGCGTGAAAGACAAACTGCTCGGCGTTAATGAATCCCTTACGGATGCGTCATGCGCTCCTACCCTTTTATGTGGCACCGTATAGGTGGAATGCATATTTGACGCATTCAATGGCTTCTGTGGGCCTGCTCATGTATCAAATCAGTGAGTTTGACATACTAGAAAAGTCTGACACCGACTGGTATACCCCGGATTGCACAGAGCAAGGCCGGTTTTCCGAGGTGTAGGATCAATCCAATTATCTGTGTGTACTGTGATACACCAATCACAGTTGCTGTACAAGTATACCATTATATGGTTTCGCGATAACTTCATTGATAAGCAAAGCGTCAAATTTAGGCATTTCTGAAAGGATATCTGGCCCATCTCCAACGCCTAACAACTGTACTGGACCACGAGAAGACTTAACGATTAAATTCTTGCCCATTTAGAGATTTATTGTGGGTGTCATCGCAAATTAAAAACAAAAAAGCGCCAAATAATGAAAGTGGGAAAAAATAGAACAACGGTGGATTAGAACTGGACGTATTCGTCCATTCAATTACATTAGGTGAACTCACCTCAGTGTCGGAAAGTGACTTTGGTAACGTTCCCCTTCGTTCGTCTACCACAACACTATCGGGCATCAAAACTGCAGCTCTTTAGGAGAGTGTTGGCCTCTAGAGCGAATCGTCCGAGTAGGAGCTGCTTCGATTTAGTTGAAAATAAAACTGCTGTGAAGTTGGTTGCGACAGAGTGAACAGCTGTGGTGGAGGATCGCAGTATGCGCTTGACGATGATATTTATTGATAGAACGAAATGAATCAAGAACTTTGAATCAGATGCATTAAGAAATTAACTGTAAACCGGAAATCCAATTAATTGAACTTCAAATGAAAACCTGAGCATTAGCAGTGTTATTAAGGAAAAAGCACCGATAAGTTCGGCGAAAGCCTTTGCTTCAGTGGAAGAGATATAAACATATATATCCTACACCGAAGACAAAAGAGTGATCCAAGAAAACCAAGCGGAATGGTGGGTAAGAAGAGACGAGCTTATTTTACGAGAAACAGAATAAAATGATGATTGGACTTGGATCGAATCAATGAGATAAAGCCGTGAAAAATCGATTTCTATTGGGAGTGTAAAGTTGACTGACTGAGCCGAACGCTTTGCCTCTTATTCAAACACTCTCGACGATGTCGAGTTTTATTCACGGATTCGTCACTGAGATCTTCAGATTCTCAAACGAACAACAACGATTGGCTATTGAACAACGAGCGAGGTGACCAATAAGCGTCTTACACAGTGTAAAACATTTGCTTTAACGAAATCCACTAGCTGACTCCTAAACAATTTGAAAGGCCAATAACTCAACAATGGCTCTTACTCTTAATGAAGACCAAGGTTGATGAGGGTTACCCTCGTATCTGTTTAAATGCTTCGATGTAGCCCTGTTTCTAACCAGCTATTAAAGCTTCAAAACATTCTATAAAACAGTTATTCTCAAGACTAACATATTATTAACCTTGTCATTGATAGGTAAGCTTACCTGTTCTTGACAAGCACATCATGAAACAATAATTTAACAATGATAAAGGTTTCTGCAGACTCCACCTTCT